CAGTGGGGCCAGGAGGGCACCCGCACTGCCGGCCCAGGCACCAAGGCAGGCAGTCAGCAGCCCCGCAGCCGCGACGGCCACCAAAGCTGCCCCCGGGCCCTCTGCCTGCCAGGCTGGGTTTCACCGCAAAGAGGTCCGACTGAATGAGCATCGCTGGCGTCAGCCCGGGGATTAACGGGCTGGTTTCGAGCCAGTGGTTTTCCCCCCGCTCAGCCTGCCCCGCAGGGTTGTTATTAGGATAAAATTGCAGGGACTGCCACCATCACCACCTGGAGCCTCTGGAGGCAAGACGGGCATGCCTCTTGCCAAGACCAGAGCTGGCTCCAGGCCGTCAGCCCCCTAGTCGTGGATCCGCTCTTCAGGCTGGGTTGGACTGTGATTATTAGGGCTCAGAGGACGGGACAGACTCGATCCATTACTTGATGGATCCCGCGGGAGGATCCAGGTCTGCCGCATGAAGAAGACTGTCACCCTTACCTCTTTTTTGCAAAGCTATTTTAACAAGCCGTTAATTAGCTGCCACCAACGGGTCTGCTTTGCAGCGCGTGCCCTCCTTGTGGTTGGTTTGCTTCTGGCTGCCATTTTTGCACACTGAACTACAGCCACACCGCCTCCTGCACACGGTCCTCTCTGCTCGGCCGCTTCCTGGCTGTGTTTGGGCAGCACTTATCCAAGTCGCTTGGCAGCCAGCGCCTACAAGTGCGCGAGGCACGGAGATGGGCTGGTCCTGACCGGGGAGGGGGCCGGGGCCTAGGACGGCGGCCTTCCCAAGAGCGATGTTCAAGTCCAGGCGGGGGAGGTTCGGGTCCAGCATCTCCCTCTGCGGAGGTCCGGCGCATCCCCCCTGCCCTTTCAGTCCACTCGACTGACAGGGAGTCAAGGCAGAAGGATGCCCTTTTGGCCACCCCGGCAGCATTTCCCCCACTGGGGCTCGAGGGAGGGGGCCTGCCTCCTCCATCCAGGCCGGCTGCTCATCCGCCTCCGGGGGGAGAGGGCGGTGGCCCTGGGGTGGTGCCGAGGCAAAAGCCTCAGCCAGGCCGCAGGCCCTCGAAAGCCCCGGGGTGGTCCATGTTCTGCAGCAGCCCACAGGGGGGACCGGCCCGCAAGAGGTGGTGACCGTACAAAGCCAGGGACCCCACGGCCGCCCCGTCACTCCCCCTCCCATCGGGAGGGGAGCTGGCAGGTGCTACTCAGAAGAACTGAGACCGAGGAAGGCCCTGCCCGCCAACCCAGGCCCAGTCTGCATAGTAGCCACGCGGGGCCTGGGGGACTGCCGCTCCCACCCCCAGCTGGCCCTCGGGGCAGCGACAGGAATGGCTCGAGGCACTGGGCAGCAGGTCCTTGGCTTCCCACACCGGGCTGCCCCTCCTCTTGGTGCCCAGGGCCACTGTTCGGCCTCCTGGAGCAGCAGCCGGGTGTTTGCCGCAGCCCTGCGCACAAGGCGGTGAAGAGCAGCTGGCCGAGGCCACCGAGGGAACTTCTGGCTGGGGGGAGCTCCTCGTCCAAGCGGGTTGGGAGGGGCCGCGGTGTTTGTTCCGTCAGTGGCTTCCTCTCCCGGCCCAAGAGCGTTTCCTGCACCCCCAGGGGTTTCCCATCCATCGGGGAGGCTGGGTTGGCCCGGATGAGGGAGCCTGTTTTTGCTGGGAACAGATTTATGGGTGAGGGGAACAGCCTGTCTAGAGAGGGAGGAAGCAATGGAGGAAAGATGGAGGAAAGATGCATAGGAGCGCGCTCTTCAGCTGCCTTTGGGCCTGGAAGAAGGTGGGGCAAACGTCCATATCCCTGCCAGGGGATGCCCTTCCAGAGTCACCAGACACACACACCCCCCCCCGTTTCCCATCTTTGTGTCCTGAGCTGCATTTTCACTTGATTGTTTCTGCTTTCCCTGGGATTAGGCTGTTATGCTGGGCGGGGGGCGGGGGGACTCTTCCCTCAGCACCAGAAATGGAATTGTGTGCAGGTGGTAGATGACCCTTAAGGGAATGCACACTTGGTGTGTTTTGCTGTCCCTTTGTTTTTTTTCCTTTGTTTTTATCTTTTGATTTAAATTGGTTGTTTTAACGATCTGTATGTATTTTGATGGTCTTATTAGGTACGCCACCCAGAGTCACTGGACAAGTGTGAATGAATGAATGAACAAACGAATGAATAAATATGACGGTCCTCCTGCTTGCAAGGAAAACTGAAATTCTATAGGCCACTCAAGAAGTTGGCCTGTGTGTATGTGTGTGTGTGCGCACACGCACACACTCTCCAGCCCCTCAAGGACAGTCATCAGCCTGGACAATGACCTTCCAGGCAGTCCCTGGGCAGCAGGCCTGGACCTGTCCAGCTTTGTGGATTGTCATGTCTGGGCCTGCAAGGCTGCCTAGCACTGCCTCAACAAACCTGCATCCCCCTCCCTGCAATTTGACTACCCTTCCTCTCCAGATCCTGCTTCTGGTGGCTCTTGAGTTAGAGGCATTGCAGCCCCCTCCCTGGTTCCAGGCCAGAAGCCGGGCTCCAGCTGAGATCTGCTGATTCCCTCCCCAGTTGTGGGGGGGGGGGCTGAGCTGTCACTCCTGGGGATTGCAAAAGCTGCTCATGAGAAGACTCATTTGGAGATAGGGAAGAGAAAGTAAAGTTGTTTCATGGAAAGCTTTGGTCAGAAGATTAGAAGGAAGGGGCTGTATTTGGGTGCTACCCCTTTTATTACCATCACGGCCGCCCAAGGCTTGCGTGTGCTGAGAGCCTCGCTGATTGTCAGCTCCAAGATTAACTACATAACTACCGATGAATCGAATGGTTAGACTCGGCTCTCTGGTCCCCAGCTGGTTCTAGCTGAAGCAGGGAGCCCCCAGCTCTTCGGGCAGGGCCAGGTTGGGGAGGCAGAGCGCCCTCCCTGGCATCGTCTTGAAGAGCGGAAGCACTCGGGGCAGGGTGAACCTAGGGGAGGCCGCAGGGAGGCCTGATCCTGCTCCTGCTCCTGCTCCTGGAAATGGGATCAGACCAATGCCAGAAGGCAGAGGACCCAGCACTGGCCTCCCTTGTCCAGGGAAACCGGACTGCTGTCCTCCTCGGCAGCTCCGGGCTCCACTGCCAAGGCTGGCTCTCTGCCACGGCGGTGGCTTCTCTGCCTGAGGGAGGGAAATTCTGGGAAGATTCTCTGCAAGAGGGTCCCTCCCGGTGTTTGCAAGGAATACAGATTACCGAGGCCATGTAAGGGTCCCTGTGAACATGCCCAGGAGGCAGCACCCCGCTGGTTCTTCCCAGCATGGGGCAAGATGGGAAGGGCACTGGGGGAGCAGGGGCTAAGCTGATCTTTGCCCAATTGCCCCAAGAAGGAGACTGGAGGGGAGCCCTTGCCAGCCTGGGTTGCTGTGGCCTCCAGCACAGCAGTGGCCTCCAGGCAGGGCCTTTGGCACATTCCAACAGAGATAAGCCCCCCCTTTTCTGGAA